GTTTCCCTTGACATGCACAGAAAGGAAAAACCTTCTCCTCATCTAGATATCTCCACAATTGAAATAAATCCATGAAATAAAATAGATTCCCAGGACCAAGTAAGCTCACGACCACCACCTCTCCTTAATTCAGGCAAAAAACCTCCCATTTCTGCAATTTTGTATTACAGCTGGACTCTGTTTAATAATGGCAGATTTCTCCATAGTCAGTAAAATGAATTACCAGATGCCTGGAGCTTAAGAGGCAAACAAGGGCAGGGTAGAAGACCTTGTAATTTTATGTTGGAGAGCCAGATGTTTCCACCCGGTTTTCGTTGCTCTTGTCTCATGGTGGCTTTTTTTTAAGTGGGATTAGAACTAGAGAAATTCACAGTCAAGAAACAAGGTGCATGACCTTAATTTTAGGCAGAATTTTAAATGAGTTCTGAGTTAACTCTGGTCTTACTGAAGTCTATGATAAACTCCAAAATGACAAGAGGGCCATTTTGCCATGCCATGCTGTGAGGGACACCTAGATAGTCCCTTTTCAGATGCCTACAGCATCTCCCTTCCCAGTTTTGTGTAGCAGGAGAGAGGACCTCTCCTGGCAGCACCTCCTTCTGTGCGTAGAGAACTGTGGCATTTGCAGAGGCTCATGTTGGGCTGAGAACCCTTTGCCATGGCATAAATGGAGTTTTGAAGTTAATCCTCCTGTCTGTATTCTCTTGGTAAGTCCTTTTGTAAATGGTACCCAGAGCTGTTGATGCATTTGGTACAGGTGGTTCCACGTCCCTGCGTGCAGCTTTGAGTGCTCAGGCAGCAGTGGGTTGTATTTCAAAGATGGATTTCGGGAAGTTTGTGTTTTAGCCACATTCAGTATCACCTTGTGAGGTATTAGATAAAAGCCACATCTCAATCCTACTGAAGATTGCAGTTTCTGATGGAGGAAGCACTGATAAGCTTATAATCCATGGAATAGTTATTGCTACTATAAAATTAATCCAGTCAACCTACCATATTTGGAGACTTTAATGATTGGAATTCATGTCATTACACAACAGACAAAACCTTCCTCCACAAGTCAGTCTTTGTTCTGAGTGTGTCTAACGGTCAGAGATGTTTCTAATCCAGATTTCCCGAATTTTTTTTTTTTTCTTTTTCCAATTGAGTGGCCTCAGGTTTTTCTTGAGATTAATGACAGTGCCGATGTATTTGGTTACTGAAAAAAAAAACTCATTTGTGTATTTGTTATATAA